TAAAAAAAGAGGAAAACCCAGAATTCACAAATATTAACTAGATATTTAAGTGGCATTTTGTCAAAGAACTGGACTAATAAAACTCAATTAATGTGAGATATTTTTCATGATTAAAAGGATATAGACTAATTAAGAAAGAAAGGAAGTATAGTCACCTGGTTTAAAGCCAAGCCACATAATATTAGTGATGAAGCTGAGAGTAAGGTTTTTCATTTAAGGAAATTAGCATTGACCTTAAAACCAAGTAGTGAAGTTATACAAAGGAAAACTTGGGAAATTAAAAAAGAATACTAATACCCGAGCTCCATGTTCAGAGATTCTAATTTAATTGGCCTGAGAAAAGGGCCCAAGCAGAGGCAATTTCTCAAATACCATAGGTATTTCTAATGCCAAGGTTAAGAAACACTGGTATGGAATGTGGTTGAAAAATTCATGGGAGGGCACATACCATCACGTGATTTCTAGGAAAGTGCTGGAACACTGTTATATGCATTGATGGCAGGTCATCGATGCTGTTGCTTTGGTTCTCAGCAGAGAGGAAAATTAAAGAATTAAAGACAGAAAGTGGGATTGGTGGGATCATTAATTGAGAGAGTTCTCCAGATAAAGAAGGAAAAGCAGAATGATGACATTTGTTTTAAGAAAAACTAATGAACATACAAATTCTGATAAAAAATATTTCTAATTTTAATTGCTAATAAAAAGAAGTAACCTATTGAAGACTAGAGAGGTTATTGCTCATCTATTTAAGATTTTTATTTAATTTATATGACTAAATGCCAATGAAATATTAAAGCCAATATAAATTACTTGAGCAACACAGTGGAAAACGATTCCGGGAGAACTATAGTCCATTAATACTGTTGAGTTATTGTTAATCTATACTCAACTATGCCCCAAATTATTATTCTGACATGAAGTTAATTTGTATGTTTTAGAACAGAGTCCTTTATAAATAACACAGGATTTGGACAAGGGCAAGACTATCATAAGTAATATGAGTGTTTGAGAATGACCTAGATGTGTCTAACTTATGGTTTTAACATTCTAAAAATAGTTTATCAATTCTATTTATATTTAGAACACATTAAAATCTATTTTCAAGTGTTGGCTCTTGTAGAATCTATATTTCTGAGGATAAACATTTTCTGAAGAGCTTCCATAATATTTTATTTAAAAATAATTTAGTAATGTTTAAAAACCAGAATGAGTTCTTTAATAAGAAAATTCTTGCCGAGCCCTGGCTGGTTTTTCTCAGTGGTTAGAGGGTCAGGGTTTGATTCTGGTCAAGGCCACGTACCTGGGTTGCAGGTTTGAACTCTGGCCCTGGTCAGGGTCGTAGAGGAAGCAACCAATCCACGTGTCTCTCTCACATTGATGTTTCTCTCTTTCTCTCCCTTCCACTCTCTCTAAATATCAGTGGAAAAATATCCTTGGATGAGGATTAACAGCAACAACAACAAAATTCTTGCCAAGGAAACCCAATTTGCCTTATGTTTATACAGGGTGGGGACAAAAGTATGTTTACAGCTGCAAGTACATGAAACACAGAGTTTATTTTTGTAATATTATTTATTCATGATTGTATTATTTTACATATGAACAACCATAACCCTACTTTTGCCCCACCCTGTATATTCTTGTGGTTAGAAGGATTGGTAATGCTGTTTAAGAATTGATTAGATCTGTTTAAATTTGTTATAAGTATTAGTAGATGGAAGGGTTCCCTTATACATCTAGTACAATTATTTCCGTAAGATATTTGAAAACTTTTCATAAATATTATTGTAGAATACATGATATCTTCAATTATGTGAGTAACCATGAAGTGAGACAAGATTTTTTATGGTAGTGCTATATTCTTGGACTTGTCCTAGCTAATATTTTCATCAATGAGCTGAATAAAAATAGTTATTAGGTGAGCTATAACCTTCAAGAAATTAAAAAAAAATATTTATTAGGCATCTCCTGTGTCCCGTGGGATGTGTGAACAAATCAAAGAGGAATTGTGAGTATAATTGAATTATTATCCAAATTATATTGTTAAACTGTAACTCTGAATTAAGACTCAGAATATTGCTAGTCTTACCTTAAAACATCAGACCTTTGAAGATAAGATCGTAGATATCTTATTTGATTATTTGTTCATCGGAATAAAATCTAGAGTTTTACTTGATTAGGACCTCAGGGTAAATGAAATGCATGATGTAGTAGCTTAATCAGTTAATGAAAAAAGTAGGTTGCTTTAGAGAAGTCACATACCTACAACAATGGTGAGAACCACCTGATATATTAGCTAAATTCTGAGTACATTGCTTAAAAAAAGATCCTTGAGGATCCTAAGATACTCATCTTACATATGGATAAGTTGAGAGATGATCTTACATTTATTATCCATTAATGAATGTGTAAGTATATTATTTTAAATTATAATAACCAATAGGACTAAAAAACAAAATGTTTAGATTGAGAGAAATGGGAAGATGAAGGGAGAAAGGAAGTGTTAAGTAACTCCTTTTCTTTTGGAGGACAGAGTATTAGATATGTGACTAATACATGCTATGTATACAAGAGACACATGCGTGCACACATGCACAGTGCCGTTATTTGCTGTCGTGGAGAAAACCAGACCCCCAGAGAGAAACAGAGGGTTAAGAGGCATGGGCCAGGAAGAAAGCCCTTCAGTGCTATTGGATTTTATACCATGGACATATTCTACTATAGTTTTTTAAAGTAAACAACATCTGGATGACCATTGTCTCCTGGACAAAAAGTGAAAACAAAGACAGAGTGAGAGAATCGAGAGGGTGCCATGGCAGAGTGGGACCTAACAACTCATAGCATGATGTTTGTAGGAACTGGGATCATTTAACCTAGACAGGACGGGTAAGACGAGATGTATGCAAATGTGAGGAAAAGAGCAGGATAGAAGCCAGACCTAGAAGAGGATGTCTTTGACTTGACATATTTAATAATTACTGTAGAAATTCTTATCCTGTGGATTCCCAGGATTTGCATGGGAGGTGTGTGTATGTCCACATAGCCTCAAAATTACATGGAGAATTGTGTCCTTTTATGGGCATATGCATTTAGAGGTAGGGCATAGATTGTTATTTGAACAGATTGTTTTTCCAAAGGAGTTTACAATTTATAAGAACTATGAGGCTGCCTACCTTATGGAGTAATAAACACTTACTTAAAAAGAGGCCATTTTTTCAAGGACGAGAGAGACAGGGAAAGACAGAAGAACTGGTCTGGGTTGAAGGAGAGTGATGGTTGTTATGTAAGGGAGTGGCCTTGTTTGGGGAAATACATAATGGAATATTTAGGAGTGAAGGGACCTCATGTCCACAGTTTACTGTCAAATGGTTCAGAAAAATACTGAAGGCTAAACAGTTAGGTATCTAGGCAAAGGGGAAACAGGAGTTCTTTGTACTGTTCGTGCAATGTTTTTGTGAGCTTGAAATTATTGTAAAATAGACTATTCTTTAAAGTTCTGAAACTCAAGGAAGAACCTAGGAACTGTTTTGTACTGAAGGAGATTGAGAGACAGTGAGTGGTCTGGATTGGATCTTTTTGCTATAAAGAAATCATTGGGATATTGAGCAAACATTTCAGGAAGGTTTTTGAGTGAAGGAGATATTTGTGTTCTTTGTACTGTTCTGTAAATTTATCTACAAGTTTGAAATCATTTTGATATAAAGAGCTTTAATCAATAAATAAATAGACCATTTTTAATAAATAATCATTCTCCCATTGGATAAAATAGACTAGTTTATTTAAAAGACCATTCTCCAGTCTCAGGTTTTAATAGTTACACAATGAAAAAATAAAATAAAATAAAAGTAATAATAAAAGAGCGGTTATTGAACACATTCCACACTAGTCATCAGGCTAAATGCTTGACATGGGCTTTCATTCAATCTTCACAGCATTGGATGAGGGAGGTACTACATCAAAAACTCAGAGACAAAGGCACTTGCTGGAGGTCACCCTACAGTGAGAGACAGAGCCAAGATGAGAACCTGAGAAGTCTGGCCCTAGAGCTTGTCTGTTAGTTCCCTTTGGATGGGTCTTGCACTGTCTTCATTTTAGCTCAGTTTCCCTCACTCACCTGTGTTAATTCTGCACCACGACTCATAGTGGCAACACATGTGCACCTGCAAAGCTGCTTTCTGACTTTTTCTGTTTGCCTTGTTCTAGCTGCATATTATCTTTTTGTCATTATTGTGCTGAGTCTAGTATCTGTGGATTATTTAAACTTTATAGCATTTAATACCACGAATACCAAGTCATTATATAGATAGAGAGAGAGAGGGAGAGGGAGAGACAGACACTATTAGTTTTCTATTGCTACTGTGACAAATTACCACAAGCTTGGCCTGAAACAATACAAAATTATTTTGTGTTCTGTAGGTTAGAATTCCAGCATGGGTCTCACTGGGCTAAAATCAAGGTGTTATCAGGGTTGTCCTTCTTTCTGGGGGTTCTGGGGGAGAATGTTTTCTTGCCATTTCTAGCTTCCTTGGCTAAAGACCTCTTCCTCCAACTTCAAAGCCAGCAGCAGTAGGTCAGTCCTTTGTTACACCCCATCACTCCGCTCTCCCTTGTGATTACATGGGATTGAGCCAAACCACCCAGGATAATCTCTCCATCTCAAAGTCCTTGATTTATTGCATCTGTGAAATCCCCTTTTCCATGTAAGATAACATAGTCGCATGTTCTGGGGATAAGACATAGACCTCTCTGGGGATTATTAGTCTGTACACACAGGGACACAGACAAAACACAATCCCTTTCCTAGAGGAGATGATTATAACTGATGAAGTATTTAGATGGATAAGGGAAAACCTGTGTGTGCTATGACTGAAGTGTGAACAATTATAGCACTATGGAGGAAGCAACTGTCCGCCTGGCTCAAGGGTGAGCAAGAAAATAATTGGCTCAAAAATTAGAATTGTTCTTGACTTATTCATATGACTTCCTCACTTTCCATCCAGGTTTTGAGACTCTGGGATATTCAGCACCAGCTATCCATCCAGAGGATAACATGTCCTTTCCCCAAAAGTCAGGACTTCAGATGCCTCTTCCACTTTGATGAAGCCCACTGCCGACTTTTCATCTCATTCAATCACCAGCTAGCATTGTTGGCCATGGAAAGGGAAGCCGGCAAGAGGGTGAAAAGCCACAAGAACGCAATCACGTGTGTTCTGTACAATTCGGTCTTGAGGCAGGTAATGATGCTTTTCTGTCCCTCTTCCAACATGTGCCCATGTCCAGAGGCTACTTCCTTAATTCCATCTAAGGTCACTGAGGACAAATAGAGAAAAAGACACGTGGGAAAGAAATGATTGAATAGGCGTGTGCGTTTCTGCAATAATGCGTGTTTAGGGGGATTTGAGGATGATTTCATTTTCAGCCAGTGACCACAGCAGCAGGGATAGAGTTATAAGGAATGACAATATTCCAGCTAAAACACACACATTACATGACTGAACTTATCTTTGTTACCCGCTAGCGGAGGTCTTGATGCAAGTAAACCTGGTTGTAAAAATTTCTTTTATGAACACCATCTTCCTGTATCCCCGTGGAAAGTTCTGAAATATGCATGAAATGTAATTAGCAGAGATCCATTTTGCCGGCATATTTTACACCCGTGGCTCACCGTGGCAGCCTGGAATGTGTTCATAATAAAATGATTCAGTTAAATGTGGTGCCACTTGGTATGCAGCATGAGTGCTGTTTGTCTCCCCACCATTTTAATGACGCTCTGCAGCCTTTGCTTATGGGCGCTCTACCTGCATGTCAATGAAGAAGCCGGCTCTGGAGCAGAGATGCTGCCCAGGCTGCAAGCCTTCTTAGTGGATGGGAGGGCCAGCCTGGGGGTGGCAGGGAGGGAGTGGACACCCTCCTGCTGCCGTGATCACCTCAGGCCTGATTGAAAGAGCCCAGCAGGAGCCCAGCACATCGCCAGTATCCAGCTTGGAGCCAATTAAACAACTCCAACCCGTTCTTCCCTTCCCTCCACAGACGCTTCTGCAGTCACGCAGACATGAGTAGTTCAGATTTTGTGCAAGGGCTGGAGAGCTCTTTGTTACTAATGAGCAGTGTGTCATCTCACTACTTCAAACATTCTGTTTTCTGGTTATTCTAGGAGATAAAGACCCTCTACAAAATAATCCATTTTACATTCCATCTGTGGGAAGTGTTCCCCGTAAATGTTTTACTGAACTTTATAAAGGCAACCAGTTAATTCGGCTCCCTGGTGGCCACTGAGCGATGTATTTGTTTCCAGGAGAACATTATGCTAATTGAGATCTGCAAAGTTAAAAAGCTAGGTTTCTGCTTTAGATGTTAAGATCTTGTATTGCCTGGCCATGAGATGAGCAATATTCCCCAAGGAATTCAGGAAATGGGACCCAAAGGAGTTCTGGAATCTTCCATTTGGGACATGAAGATAAAACCAATACAACATAAATATATGCAAGTCATAGGCAATGATAGAATTGCACATTTGGTATATAATGTAGGAAGAATCACTGTACAAATGAGTTGAGTGTTCCCACCTCTTTATCTTTACTGTTAATAGCATGAATAATTAAAAGCATTAATATGTACAGAAAGCACACAGCGCTGCGCACCACATACAAAAGTGCTTCCTAACTATTAGCTGCTAAGCTACAAAGAAACACTTTAACATTACATTACATTTTTTAATTATAAAAATGTATCGGAAATCAAATAAAAGAAAATAATGTCACCCACAGTCCCATATTCCAGTGATATTTGTCATTTTATAGTAATTAAACAAAGTAAATAAAACAGTTTTGAAGAAATCCTGGGAGCCAAGACTGAGGGAGACTCCGGACTTTAAGGGAAGATCCAGGGTGTCTTCCTGGTGCCCATTGCTCGGTAGGTCTTCCAACAGGACTGTGGGATGGAAAATGGGGAAGCAGACACACTACCATCTCACAAGGCAACAGTGGAATTCAGTGTCATGAAGTGGAGGTAAGAGCAAAGTGCTATGGGTGGAAAGTGATCAGTTCTGCCTGGGGCTGGGGTGGGTGGTGTTTCAGCAGAGCCCTGAAAGCTAGAGTTGGAATCTTTAAAAGGAGAAGGAAGTAGTTCAGACAGAAAACACAACCTGAGCACTTGCAAAGAGGCTGGAGCACTCACAGTGCGTCAAGGGGAGAGAGTTCACTCTGATGTGGCCAGTTTGGGAGCATTTGGCAGGTGTCGGAGGTGCAGCAGTAAAGGGAGCTTAGAGCAAGAACGTGAAGGTCATTCACTGAACGTCCCACAGTCTGGTCTTGGAAAAATTACGCATAAACTTGGAGTTAAAATACTAATTCTCAGCATGATCTCGGACCCCAGCGGACTCAGTTCCTTTCAGGGAATCTGAGAGATCAAAACTATTTTTGTCATAATATTAGTTTGTTGTTTGCTATTTTCATTCATATTGTCTTGTCAGTGGATAGTAGAGGTTTTTAGAGGCTATGTGATGAGCGGTCATTGCTGTGATGTCCAAAAGAATTGTGCTTGTGTATTCTTGTGTTTTAACAAATTCTAGTTAAATTTCCAATGTAAATTATCTGTCTGTCTGTCTATCTGTCTATGCTTTCCATATACATAAAAGTTATTTGAAGTCTTCAATAATTTTAAGAGTGTAAAGGGACCCCAAGATCAAAAGTTTTGAAAGCCACTAAGTTAGAGAAATCAGAGTTCAAATGTTGAGCAGATGATTTACCATCTCTAAGCTTCAGTTTATTAACTTTTATAATTTTTGTTTTTTGTTCATCCTCCCCCAAGGTTATTTTTCCATTGATTTTTAGACAGAGTGGAAGGGGGAGAGGTGGGGAGAGAGAGAGAAACATCAATGTCAGAGAGACACATTAACTGGTTTCCTCCCGCAGGACCCCGACCAGGGACAGGGATCGAACCTGCAACCCAGGCACATGTCCTTGACCGGAAATCAAACTCAAAACCCTTCTGTTGGCAGGCCGACTTTCTAACCTCTTGAGCCGAACTGGCCAGGGCAGTTTATTAACTTTAAAAAATGTGTGTGTGAACTTCCGGTCAAGATGGCGGGTAGGTAAACGCGGTATCGCGTCCTCCCACAACCACATCAAAGTTACAACTAAACTACAGAACAACCATCATTCAAAACCGCCTGAAGTCAAGCTGAATGGAAGTCCTACAACTACGGAATTAAAGCAGCAGCCACATCCAGACTGGGAGGAGGGGCGGAGGGGACGGGCTGGTCCCACACCCACGTGTGGCGGATAAAAATCAGGAGGACAGCTCGGCTGGGAGGGTCCTTCCTGAGGACTGAGGGGTCCCCGTCCCACACCAGGTGCCCTGCTTAGGGTTCCAGTGCCAGGAAGAGAGTCCCCATAACTTCTGGCTGGAAAAACCAGCGGGAACTGAGGCTCAGGGAGGCTGAAGCGGCTGGAGCCCCAGGCAGCTCCTTAAAGGGCCCGCACACGGACTTATCGGACTCTTTCCCTCTAAGCTTGGAGGGGAAGCAGCTCGAGGGGTGCCAGAGACACACAGGGAAGAACTGAGCTGTTTGGCACTGGAGTGAGGGCTGGAGAGGGGGCTTTCTCTGGGACAAACGTGCCGTCAGAGGCCTTTGTTCCTTTGGTGAGCTCTTCCCTGGGGCGGCAGACAGTCTCCATATCTGGGACTCCAGCAACCGGGCTCACACTGGTAGCCCCGCCCTGGTGACTCCCTGAGGCCCCGCCCCACCCAACTTTCAGGCCCACCCAAGCTGTTGCCACTTGCTTAACCATAGGATTGGCCTGGCTTGGATCCTGCTTCAGGTTTTTCCTAAATTCTTTCAAACGAGCAGCATCTGGTCTCAGTGAGCCCCATACTTCTCATTAAGTAATACACTGAAACAAACACAGGGAGGCAGCCAAAATGAGGAGACAAAGAAACAGGTCCCAAATGAAAGAACAACAAAACCCCAATAAAAGAACTAAGCGAAATGGAGATAAGCAACCTAACAGATACTGAGTTCAAAATACTGCTTATAAGGATGCTCAATGAACTTAGTGAGAACCTCAGTGAACTTAGGGAGGACCTCAAGAGCATAAAAAAGGACCAGTTAGAAATCATGGATACACAGTTAGAATTAAAGGAGGCATTAACTGAAATAAAGAATAATTTACACAGCTTCAATAATAGAGTATGTAAATCCAAGGAGCAAACCATAGATTTGGAATATAAGAAAGCAAAAAATGCCCAATCAGAACAGCAAAAAGAAAAAAGAATAAAAAAAAATGAGGATAGTGTAAGGAGCCTCTGGGACCACTTCAAGCGTGCCAACATTCGCATCTTGGGGGTGTCAGAAGGAGAAGAGAGAGAACAAGAAATCGAAAACCTGTTTGAAACAATAATGGCAGAAAACTTTCCTAACTTGGTGACATACGAGTCCAGGAAGCACAGAGAGTCCCAAACAAGATGAACCCCAAGAGGCCCACACCAAGACACATCATCATCAAAATGCAAAAGGTTCAAGACAAAGAGAGAATCTTAAAAGCAGCAAGAGAAAGGCAGCTAGCTAGTTACCTACAAGGGAGTTCCCATTAGGCTGTCAGTTGATTTCTCAAAAGAAACTTTGCAGGCCAGAAGGGAGTGGCAAGAAATATTCAGAGTGATGAAAACCAAGAACCTACAACCAAAATTACTCTATCCTGCAAAGCTGTCATTTAGAATTGATGGACATATAAAAACTCTCCCAGACAAGAAAAAGTTAAAGGAGTTCATCACTACCAAACCGTTATAATATGAAATGATGAAGGGTCTTTTTGAAGAAAAAGATAAAATATATGAACAAACAAAATGGCAATGAATACATATCTATCAACAATGGAATCTACAAACAAAATGAACAGGTAGAACAGAAACATTCTCATAGATACAGAGAACACTTTGTTGGTTGCCAGTTGGGATGGGGGTTGGGGGAATGGGTGAAAAAGGTGAAGGGATTAAGAAGCACAAATTCATTGCTAGACTGACAAACCTCAAAGGGAAAGGGGTTGGGGGAGTGGGAAGAAATAAACCAAAGAATTTATATGCATAACCAATGGACACAGACAGTAGTGTGGGAAAAGGTGGGAGGGGGGTGGGAGTGGGGAGGAGGGGGTCAATGGGGGAAAAATGTGGAACATCTGTAATACATTTTACATCCAACAATAAAGTTTTGAAAAAAATAAAAATAAAAAATAAA